TACAGCTGGATATAATTATTGATATTTACAGATTATTCTAACATACTTCTATATATATTCCCAAAGATAATTAATGTTGCTTACCCAGTACCCAACACTATTTCTATATTATATAGTACAATTAGACACTAGATAAAATATATCGACTTGGTACTATTTCTTTTCAATTTTCTATGATTTTATACACTTAATAAACACTGCCAAGTTGACTAGTTTGCACAAGTAGTATAATTAATTCAAACAACAAAGTTACTATATTGTACATTTGTTGCAAACACCATTTCAATTTGAACCCATAAAATGCTACAAATGACAGTTTCTTTTATATATAAATAGAGAATCTAATATATATACAGGATAATACTTTTATATTATACTAATCAAAGTAGTTGTCTAAAAAGAGGTATTGAATTTCACTAGAGTTAGTCTTTTAAACAATGAACATGTTTAAACTTTACTTATGAATATGATAAATAGCATAAATAAAAGATGAATGCAATCCCTACATAATTTAATCATAAATAAATTTATAAATTTTATTCTATGCTTGAGGATTATATCAGTATTAATTTCTTTGCTATTGCATTTTTTTCTTTTTCTTTTTTATTGAAAGTATTTAAAATCATTTTTGTCACTATGGAGTAATAGAAAGAAAAAAATCGATTAATTAAGTTAAATTAAGTATACTTGTACAATTTTTTTTCTTTTGTTTTTGTTATTTTTTTTTAGTTAAAGTACTTACAATTAATTCCTCCCAGGAAGTTATAAGTAAACTTGATGACATTAAATCGTGGCATGTGGAGTAACTTAGCTTAATGGTTACATTAGAGAGTTGTATTTGCATGTGCATCTTTTTAATCTATATGATTATCTGAATAAATCAATTCTGAAGCTAATGTATTTTTATGCTGTGTTAAGTGTTGTTTAATTCTTGTTTAACTGTAGGTATTGTCAAATCGTTGTATATTATGTCGTACGGTGGGGCGTCACATATGTCGCGTAGAGTTTTTGATTGAAATTTTTGTAGAATTTTTATATTCGAATTACTGACACTTTGTTCAGGCAGGTTTTAGAATAATCTTGTATATCAGTAATTTGTTTTCTGACTTTAATTTAGAATATCTTTTTATCATCCAGTACAGCTTTTTTACTTTTACCGTGAGCTGAGTATATTTAGTTTGTATATGGTTTTTCCATACTGATCTTCTATTATATCTAATATCATACCAAGATATTTAACTGAATCACTTTGTAGAATTACTATACTGTTTAACTTCACTGAAGGACATATATTTCTGCATAGAGTGAAAATCACATGATTTATTTCATTTTCATTTACTTAAATATTCCAGTGTTTGAGCCAAATAGCTATATTGTCTAGGTGCTCTTATAAATTTTTGGTGGCTTCAGATGGATCTTCATGAGAGGCAAGAATTGCCGTGTCATCTGCAAACGTAGCTGTGGCTATTTTTTCCGAGGTTGGTATATTTGCAGTATAAATAAGATTCAAGACAGCAGAACACCAGAATTGATTGGATAGGCTGGGTAATTACTTCTTGAAACTTGACTTTGAATTTGCTATTAGTTAAACATGATAGTAATAGTTTATAGAGAGAGTGTGATAGTAGCTTTTTTTAGCTTATAAAGGATACCTGTGTGCTAAAGTTTATCAAATGCCTGTTAATCTCTAGAAAGACAGCAGAACAATATTCCTTCAAAATCTTGTCTTACATAATCACTAGCCTATGAATTTCTTGAAGGATTGAGTGTTGTCTTCAGAAGTCAAATTGATGCCCTAGTGTTATATTTAATTTCGTTAATACAGGTTCCATACGTTTGGTAAAAGGCTGGTAAGGCGATGTGATGATATTTCATGTGCAGGTCTGTTTATTACTACAAAATGTGAAATTTTCCACTGTTTAGGAAAGAGGCCTAGGCGTAGTATAGCATTGAATATCGATGTTATTATTGTCATCGATATTAATGCTATATTTTTCTTAGGAAGTTCTTTGATTATTTTATCTGTGATTAACTTGTGCCTAGAAGCTTTTTTGGTGTTTATTCTAATATTTATCATTATCTTAAGTTCTTCAGTCGTAAACAGTTTGACAGGTGGAGATAACTGATAGGGAATTTATAAATATTCCGAATGATTCTATTACTTAAGAGATCGGGGGGAAAGATTTAAATACTTCGGCAAAAAGGTGTCAAATGCATCTGCCTTTACTTGAGGGCTCTTAGCTCAGCATCCTTGCAAGTTCCGAATAAGCGGAATTGTTTTCTGTAGTTTTGTAACCCTTTTGGTTGCCTTCCAAAGAGAGTAATCAGTGGCTTCTGTTGGTGTTAGGCTGTTTAAGCAACTACTGAAAGATTCGCTTTTGTACAGTATAGTCGATTGAGTTTCCTGGTTGCTATATTCAGCAGTTTCTTGCCATTAGGGGATCTAGAGTTTTTCCTCGTTTTTTTCAGCTTTCTCTTTTTAGCGATCTCTCAGTAATGAAATCTGGATAGGTGTACTGGATTGGATGTACTATTGTAAAAGTTGCGGATCTGACTGCTTCGATGATATACATTAAGTATTCTATTGCTCCTAGCTGATACAGTAACAGAGCTGTGTCAATATACTTGTGATTGTAGGTTTGGAGTTTATAGTGTCTTAAATTACATATAATAATTGTAGCAATACCACCTTGTGCTTTACTCCTAAGACGTTGCGTCATGACTTTTAGGTAATTTTTATCAGTGAGGGGGGTTTTGGAAATGAGTATTACTTGAATTTCTTGGCTGATAATAAATGCTTCAAGCTCATATTTACGCCGCATGAGCTTATTCGCATTCCATAGAGCAATGCGTACAGGTTTGCAATTATTTTTGTTACTATTGCTGTCAGTAAGATTAGCATATTATTGATTTGTTCTCTTTGTCCTATAAGTGTATATTCTAGTTTGTAAAAATATTTTTCTCTAGACTGTATGAAGATATTAAGGTTGTTTCTGCGTAAGTAGTAGGGGGATTAGTATACACTTCGTTGGTTGCTGTTATGCTGTGTTGGTGCGGTATTGGTTGATTAGGCAGTATTTTGGTCTTTGGTCTTAGAAATTTGCGTTGTTGCACTACCTTATGTACTGAACAGCCTCTATAATTAGCAGGATGGTCACCGTCGCATAATGTACATTTTACTGGAATATGAGCTGGTTTCGTACAGTCAATAGTGGGATGCAGTTCCGAGTATTTTGTACAGCAGAAATCGTGATTATAGTACAGTTGTGTGTGTCCATATTATTGACATCTTTTACTTTGACCAATTTTCCTTTTCTTATAAAGGAGGTCTATTTGTACAATGCAATTTATTAACGTCTTTATTTGGTATATTTGTTTATTGTTATAGCTTGGTTTTAAATCTATGAGGAACAATAATAATATTAGTTATATTTGTTACCCCATGTCCCAGTATCATTAACTCTTCTTTCAATTCGTCCATATTTGCAGAGTAATATATGTATACATATATATTGTGTAAAACAACTCTATATGCTCTGTCCTACTTGAGCTGATATGTGTGAAATCTAGCATTAAATATTTTCAGGTGTTCAATTATTTTCTTGTACGGCTCTGCATTTTTGGGTAAAATTTTCACCTTATCATTTTTTGGTTTTAAGCTGTATTCATCCTTATTCCTGATAGTTCCCAATTCATTTGACATAATTTGAATGTCGAAGAAGTCTTAAAGTAAGATCGGCAGTGGTAGAGGTATATTTATAGATGACGGAATTTCAGGCACATTACTATCATTTGGTATTTCTAATAACGTGAAACTATTTTTTGTCTAACGTTACATACGAGTGATTCAGAAATTCATTTACTTGGGAAATTTGTACTTTTTTGAAATGATTCCTTTTGCCATGCTAGTGGAAGGATGTTTGTATGGTTGTTATTTCTTTCCGGTGATAAGTTTACAGACATCTTTGAGTTTACGTTAAGCAAGTCGTTCACGAGGTAAAGCTCGGCATAGCTTACAATTATATAGTCTGTACCCTAGGTTCTAGAGAATATACTATTGCAAGTACTTTAGAGCTTTCGCTATTTTTCACTGTTTAGGATTGGTTTCGAGGGTCGTCTTATGTATATCAATAGATATCGCTGCGTGAAGCGTGGAACGTGATATTGCTCGCTTGACGTGACTTATTATATATTATTTAAAAAATCCAACTGAACTTCAAATAACAATACATCCATTGAATGTATCCCTCCTTTAATCTTCTAAAAGCAAATTAACATAATTTTTAAAATATAAGCATTTATAGATTAAAATGAGTCCTGCAGACAATACTAGAAATATACAGGGTATCTAGTAACTGGGCCAAGCTATAACTCAGTTCTTATTGAAGATAGAACAAAATTGTAGAGGAAAGTATTGCATGGTTTAACAAGTTGTATCATCCTGCAATGCGGCTTTTTACGGAAGTACATCGGTGTAGTTGCAAAGTGAAATTGCACTCGTTTTTTTAATGCTACTCTATGATGTTTTTACATGAATTGAATCCTCGTGCTATTCTGAATAAAAAAGTATTAGGGTACAATCGTGAAAAACTCAATACTTTTCAAAATATTTACCTCTTTTTCCAACATCTACAGTAAATGTTCAAATGTTCCACCATTGCATTCTAAACATTTTCTTACACGTTTTTTTACACTTTTCACCATATTGTTCAGTTGTTCCTCTACAATTTTTTTAAGTCTTCAATAACAACCGAGTTATAACTCGGCCCAATTACTAGATACACCCTGTATATTATATTCATATTATTTTTCATTTTTACTATAATGAATCTTCATTATATAAAAATTTGCATCTTCATTTTAATACTGAACTTTTCTCTATATTAGCCTCTAATTGAAATCCTGTCTTTGATTTTAGGATCGTTAGTTTTACGTCTACTGTATACATATATTAAGCAGCACCGTGTATACATGTACACAAACCACTGCACTATAGTTTACAAAAGATAGTCATGTATTTTAATCTTATACAATAACATTTTATTTAGTGTCAAATAATAGTTCGCTATAGCATATTATCTACCTTTCTTTTTGATTAATTATAT